TGACATTCTTTATCTTTTGCTACAGTTTTTGACTTAAACTCTATTTTGTCTGATAGAAATATAGCTACCTCTGCTAATTTTTTGTTTCCATTTGTATGAACTATCTTCCTCTATCCCTTCACTTTGAGTTTATGTGTGACCTTAAAGCTTAAGTGAGTCTCTTGTAGGCAACATATAGTTAGGTCTTGTTTTTTAACCCATTCAGCCACTCTATGCTTTTTGGTAGAGAACTTAATCCATTTACAATTAAAATAATTATTGATAGGTAAGGACTTAACTAACGCCATCTTATTGTTTTCTGTCTGTTTTGTAGTTCTTTTGTTCCTTTCTTCCTCTCTTGCTGTCTTCCTTCGTGATTTGATGATTTTCCATAGTGGAATACTTTGATTCTCTTCTCTCTATTTTGTGTGTATATACTGCAGGTTTTTGCTTTGTGGTTACCCTGAGACTTACAAAAAACATCTTACAAACATAACACCCAATTTTAAGGTGATAACAACTTAACTTCAATTGTATACAAACAGTCTACCCTTTTGCTCCTTCCCTCACATTTTATGTTTTTGATGTCACAATTTACATCTTTTTAGATTGTGTATCCATTAACAAATTATTGTAGCTCTAGGTATTTTTAATACTTCTGTCCTTTAACCTCTGTACTAGAGTTAAGTGATTAACATACCACCATATTACAGTATTGAGGTGTTCTGAATTTGACTCTATACTTATATTTGCCAGTGTGTTGTATATTTTGATATGTTTTCATGTTAATAATTAGTGTCCTTTCATTTCAGCTTGAAGAACTCCTTTCAGAATTTCTTGTAAAGAAGGTTGAGTGGTGATGAACTCTACCAGCTTTTGTTTGTCTGGGAAAGTCTTCATCTCACCTTCATTTCTGAATGACAGCCCCGCCACATAAAGTATCCTTGGTTGGCAATTTTTTCCTTTTGGCACCTTGAATATTTCATCCTACTATCTCCCGACCTGTGAGGTTTCTCCTGAGAAATCTGCTGATGGCCTTAAGGGCCTTCCCTTGTAAGCGATAAGCTTCTTTTCTCTTGCTGCTTTTAAGATTCTCTCTTGGTCTGATTTTTGACAGTTTTATTATAATGTGTCAGGGAGAAGATCTATTTGAATTGAATTTGTTTGCGGACCCATGAGCTTCATGAACTCGGATGTCCAAATCTCTCCCCAGATTTGAAAAGTCTCAGCCATTATTTCTTTAAATAAGCTTTCTGCCCCTTTCTCCACCTCTTCTTCTGGGACTCAAATAATGTGTAGATGGTTTCTCTTATTGGTGTCCCACAGTTGCATAAGCTTTCTTCATTCTTTTTCTTTTGGCTCCTCTGACTGGATAGTTTCAAATGATCCGTCTTCAAGCTCACTAATGCTTTCTTATGCTTGGTCCACTCTGCGATTGAAGCTCTCCTGAATTCTTCAGTGCAATCATTGTATTCTCCAGCTCCAAAATTTCTGTTTGGTTTGTTCTTATGTTTCCTATCTCTTTGTTGAACTGCTCATTTTGTATTGGTATTGCTTTCCTAGTTTTGTTAAGCTGTTTATCTGTGTCCTTTTGTAGCTCTCTGAGCACTTTTAGAACAATTATTTTGAAGTTTTTGTGAGACAATTTGTGTATCTCCATTTCTTTGTGTTCAGTTACTGAAAGTTTACTGTGTTCCTTTGGTGGTGTCATGTTTCCATGATTCTTTGTGATTCCTTGTAGCCTTACATAGTCGTCTGCATATTTGAAGCAGCAGTCACCTCTTCCAGGCTTTATGGCCTGACTTTGGTAAAGAAAGACTTTCATTGGCAGGTAAGGACATGATGGAGCATGCTCTGACCCTGGGTCTAGCAGTGCAGGGTGCCAAGCATGGAGGTGTGTGATAGCTCCATGTCCGGTGTGTGTGTGTGATGTCTCATTGGCTCAGGTCTCTGGGGTCCATAACAATGACAACTGCATGATCCTTGGTAATAGCTGCAGGGGGTCTGCAGTGGTTGTAGTGGTTCTTGGAATCCTCAGCAGTGCCTCTAGGTCCAGTAGTTAGGGACCAGGCAGGTGGTAGTCATGGCCAGAGCCAGTGGTGTACACACACTTAGCTGTAGGGGCTGGCTGCAGGTGTGCATGTAGTGATAGGGCCTGGCTGCAGACTCACACATAGTGCAAGGGATGGGTCCAGCAGTAGGCACTGGGGCCAACTGTGGTTGCACTAGCAGCTGCAGGGGCCCTGGTTGTTGGCATGCACTCCCATGGAAGTGGAGGTCAGTGATGAGAGTCAGGTCAGTAGCATGGAGGTGCACAGCTGCAGGGGCTAGCTGCTGGTGAGATCAGTGGTGCAGGCCAGTGATGGGGACAAGGCCAGATACAGGCCCATATGAGCCATAGGGGACCTGGTTGTTGGCATGCACTCCTGTGGCTGTAGGGGCTCCTCCCAGGCACATGCACAGCAGTGGAGGCCAGAGATGGGAGTTGGGCTGGAGGTGTGCAGGTGCAGAGCTGCAGGAGACAGCCACAGGTGTGTGCACATGGTGGTGGGGGTCATCTGCTGGGGCTGGTTGCTAGTGTAGATCCTGTACTCTGGTGGGTGAGGGGGCAGAGGGAGCAGAGAAGGACTTAGGCAGCTGGCATCTGTGAATGTGAAAACCTGTGGAGTGAAAGTCTCAGCAGTGAAATCTGCGGGGAGTCTGCAGGGGCAGTGTTGGCATTGGTTTCTTCAGCAGTTCAAGTTGCTGGGGGCCTCTATGGAGCAGTCTGCTGGGGTCCACAATGAGATCCTCAGTGATGAGAGCTGGGGGGTCTGCAGCATCTGCAAGGGCTGTTGAAGTCCTTAGCAGTGAAGGCTCCTGGGGTCCTCTGCAGAGCAGGTCACTGGAAACCATGTTTACTCCCACTGTGTGGCTGATAGCAGCAGCCCCCTGCCCTTCTTCCTTGTTCCTAGCTGTCTCTCGACATCTCAGCTTTGCTGGACTCTGGGTGGGGTAAAACTGAAGTGGGTCCTTCATGCAGTGCCCTGGAAGGCTGAAGAAGCTGGTTACTCACCCACTCTCCTTTTCCTGATGAGGGGAACTCTTTCTAGCTGGGTGGTTCTCGCCTGGTGCTGAGCAGTGCCGGCCAAAATGAAGCCGTTGTTCCTACCCTTTTTGTGCAGTTATTCTCGGGTTTTTTTGTTCCACTGTGTTGCTGAAGCTTCTTAAGTGGACTTCAGAGCTCTCCCAGAGCCGTTTCACTCATGGCTAGCTGTCTAGTTATTGATCTTTGTTGGGGGACAGAGGCTGGGATCTCCTACTCCGCCATCTTGGTCCAGATCCTATGGCTTTTATTTCTACAGTGCCTTCTCTATTTTCTTCCTCTGTTTCATTGATTTTTAAAGATTCACCGGTTTACTTTTCAATGGCACGTTGTTTAATATCTGTGGCAGTTTTAAAAATTGGCCCTTGCATTCTTTGACATACCTCCTTCCAAGGGTGGGGTCTGTCCTCCTCCTCTCTTGAATCTGGGTGGGCTGTGGCTGCTCTGACCAATAGAATGACATGGACTTGACTCTGAGCCAGTCCCTGGGCCCAGGTCTTAGGAGCCTGGCAGCCACCACTTCCTGCCTCTTGGGTAACTTGGTGTCAGGACCCAGCCACCATGCTGTGAGGAAGCCCAGGGGTGCATAGAGAGGCCACATGTAGGTGAGTTATTGTTTAATGGTACAGCCCAGTGGAAGTTCCAGACCACAGCCCATGTCAAATCAGTCACTAGCTGTGTGAGTGAGCAGAGTGGAAGTGGATCTTCCCGCCTCCTTGGGACCACCTCCTGAGACACTGTGTGGAGGAGAGATGCACCATCCCCACCAAGCCCTGCCCATACTGGAGAACTGTGAGTAAATACATGCATGACGTTGTTTTAATGCACTAAATTTTGGGATGATTTGTTATTTCAAGTTCTCCATCTTCTCCTTGAGTCTTTGTTTTAGATAGTCTATATTTTCTTCTCTCTTCAATGATCATGATTCAGTGCATGTTCCAAAGCACCTCCAGCTTTAAAATCTACTTTTTTTTCTGGTGTCTACCTGTGGTTCATTCTAGGCTATTGCCTCCTTTGTTCCATTTCACAGCCTCTCTGTAAAAGGCTCATTTGGTGCTTTTCTAATGATGGCTCATCTCTGAAGGGGCTCTGCTCTGGGGCTAGCTTCTCTATGAGGAACGGAGTGAGAAGGAGCTGGGATGGAAGCTCTGCTCCTGTCACTCATCCTTCACGTTGACCGTTAGCTGACTGAGATCCACCATCCCCTGCCACCCGCCATCCCTGTGGCTGTCTCTCAGAGAAAGGATGAGCGGGTGGGTGTGGTCACGTAGGTGTGCTTCTCCAGCCACTCCAGGGTGCGGCACTGAGGACAATCTCACAGCCCCCACTCTGCTGTTCACTGTGAGATCTTCAGGGTATGTCATCTATTTCTGAGAATGCTGGGCGTTCCCGGGAACTGAAGAGTTGGAAATCTGATCTTGGCACCCTCTTCCACTATCTGGATCCCGTTCCCAGTACATTTGCCAATTGATCAACACAGACTCTATGTATACCCTGTGACTGAGTTCACATGAGGATGGGGCTATCTTATTTTTTTCTCTTCTTTTAGTTGCTATCAGCTCATTTGAGGGTTCAGAGAGGGGTTCTGAGAAATCCTGCAGGAGTCAACCTATTCAACCCATATTTTCCAAAGTAATTTAATGAAGGAACTCTATTTTTTGAAATAAATCATCAACTAATACCTTGATTCCCTATTGTTCCAAGGAATACAGCTTGAAAGATACTATTCTGAGTAAATCTCAAGTTGTGATATATAAGATATTTCCATTTTTTTAACAATAGAATCAAAACTTAATGAGAACATTTTTTTACGTAGTTATTTTTAGATAGGGAAATTGCTTCTTGAAACCCTATCATAATAAAACAAAGAAAACATATATTTGCATTTCAGATTTTTACTACCTGCTGCTCTGAATATTGGCTAAGTTGTTCCTACCTTGTAGTAGCTTTCATCAGCACTAAGTGCTTTGGAAAGTCCAAAATCACTGATCTTGGCATAATGTTGAGTAACCAGCAACACATTTCTTGCAGCCAGATCTCTGTGCACAAAATTGCTCTCCTCCAAATATTTCATTCCCATAGAAACCTGATGAACCAGCTCTATGATGTTCTTATCCTTGACATGCCTGAAAGTCACAAATGTGTCATTAGTGATAGTGGATAGTAGTTCATTTCAGAACAACTAGCCATGCTCCTCATGGAGACAAAAGATGATTCTTCTCATTTCCCATTCTTTTTAAGCAAGAGTCACGAGTGGTGACAAATAACCTTGTTAACCAATAGCTGTTCAAAACTGAACACCATTCTCCCGGTGTTCAACGGGTTCAATTTTCAAGGCAAGCTTTGAATTGGATGAAAAGCAGTATAACGCGGTGGTCAGACCCAGATCATGGAGAGCCAGGCTTCAGTTGGAATCCTTGTGCCAATAGGGACAGGTAACAAAACCTACCCTGAGTTGCAGTTTCTCACCTGTGAAGTGGGACTAACAGCACTTCCCCTCTATGGAGATTAAAGACACAATCTAAGTAAAGTACAAATGTAATGTAGCAAATGGGACAAAGTAATCAGTGGCTATTGTTATGATTTATTCCACATGAGTTCCTCCATCTCAGCAATGACTGTTGATGAGCACAGGATGATTACTCCATCGATGATTGTAGTCAATTAATAGCAATGAGTATTTTCAGAAGTAATTACTCATGGGAATGTAGAGGTCAGCCAGACATGTAAGACATCACTGTTATCCCTTATAAAATGTTTATTTAAAAATTTCTTTAAAAAGAGCGTGTTCTGCCTAGGGAGGGGAGATTGCTTGCCAAGACATTCTACAGCTGATTCTATCGTCAGGCCAATACAGAGTGAGCAAATTGTTAGATTAGAGTTTTTCTTTACATAATAGACTTGATCCAAAGACTACAGCTCTGTCTTCTCTCAAGGTCTCTGAGAGTGGACCAACACTGGGAAGGTGTGGGAGGAGAGAAGGCTTTCCACAGAAATCAGACTGCTATGTGCGTTGGGCGGGTGGGCCCTGCCCCTCACAGTATAAGTTTTTGGGGCACCTAAAGATACCTGTTCTGCTGTAAATATTTATTGAGTGGACCCAGTTCCGCCATCTCCATAACCAGCATCCAGGACTCGGCTTCGCAGATCCCTATCATGCGCACGATGTAAGGATTGTCAAGCTGCTGCATCACATTAGCTTCTCTTAATAACTCATCTTTAAGGGCGGGGTCATTGGCCTCATTTTTCAGGATTTTCACAGCCACTGTTTTCACGACTCTGCAAAAGAAATCATAACACATAAGAAACTTTTCAAAGTGGCACTTCTAGATAATTATCTTCTGTGAAGCATAATTTCTATGCTAGAAATGGTGTTATGGAAATATCAGCAACAGAATGGAAATGCATCTTAAGAAGCCATGTTATAAATGACTGGTTTTCCAACCATGTTGTCTCATTTTATAGACAAAGGGGGAGTTAAAAATAATAGGGGAGTGCTGAAGAATGCCCCATCCAAGCTGAAAGCCTACATATTGTAGAATATTTAAATAACTTCCAAGTAAATCTTACAAACTATGACATATGTGAATTTCTGTAACATCTTGAGATTTATCATCTCAGATTATGTGTAATGTGTGTGAATACAAAATCCCTTTAATATATGTTAAAAATGAATTTCTGGATGCAGAATTAAAAGCGTACATTGTTAAAGCTCATAGTTTACAAAATACTTTTTAAACAGAGCTTTGTTAATTTTAAGCAAGGCTCAACAAGTTTACAAAAAATTAATTATTTTTAATTTTCTAATAAAAACATCACATAGGTGAGGTTTGAACTCTTGAAAATATTCTGATATAGTGGGGCTTAAATAAATGAATGGAACTCAACTCTAAATGATTGAAAGACTGCATCTCTCTGTGATACAATTCCCACAGATGCAGGAAATATACCTCTTTTGTTGAACTCCAAAACAAAAGAATAAAAACAGAACTATCCAATAAAACAGGTAAAATAAGAGAATACCAGAGTAAGCCTGACATACATTCAGAAAAGCACATACAACTTCAGTGTAGAACTCAATGAGGGTTTACACATGGGATGCATGCTGTAGGTCCTACACAGATGGAGGCATAGAATATCACCAGCACCCCAGAAGCCCTCCTCATCCTCCTCCCAAGATCATGGAAATATTCTCCTATGCTACCTCTAGACAGTTTACTGTTTTCACATTTCAGTCTACCATCCATCTGGAACTGGTTTTGTGTACGGTGTGAGGTAGGGGTCAAAATTAACAAGCAAAAACCTCTCGATTCTTCCAATGTATAAGGAAGAAATAACACCCACAAACTCTTCTAGAAAATAAAAGAGGAAGGAAACTTCCCGACTCATTTCACAAGGTCAGCATTATCCTGACGTCAAAACCAGACAAAGAAATTATTAGAAAATAATTTACTGATATCCCTCATGAACATAGATGCAAAAATTCTAAGAGAAATATAAGTAAATTAAATTCAGTGATTTATGAAAAAGATATAAAGAATATATAATTCATGAACAAGATGATTTATTCCAGGAACGCAAGGTGGGTTTAACATTTGAAAGTCAATCACCATATAAACACAACAAAGGAGAAAAACCACATGGTCATCTCAGCAAAGGCAAAAAATATTCAATAAAATGTAATACACTCTCATGATTAAACACAAATTTCTCAGAAAAATAAAAATAGAAGGAAACTTTCTTAATATGATAAAGAGAAGCTACAAACCTAATGGTGAAGTATTGAAAGTTTTCCCCTGAAATCAAGAATGAAGGATAAGGCTACTGCCACTTTTATTCAACATTGAACCACGGTTCCTAGCTAATAGGATAAGGCAAGGAGGAAACATAAAAAGCATAAAGAATAGCCAGGATGAAATAAAACTGTCATTATTCATAGATGACACATTTTTGGATCAAAGAATACACAGATAAACTACTAGAAATAATAAGTGAGAAATAACAGGTGAATTCAGCAAGGTTGCTGGTATCAGATCGATAGACAAAACCAGTTATATTTCTGCATTCAGTCAACACCAGGGATTAGCAAATAAAATTTTAGAAATTATACTGTATATATTAACTTCAAAAGTACCAAATACCTATGAATGAATCTAACAAAAGAAATTGTGCAAAACTTCCCAAAGAAAATTAAACAGCTCTGATGAGAGAAATTAATGACGACCCAAGTAAATGGAGGGTGGGTCATGGTTATTGATTGGAAGACTCAACTTTGTAAAGACATCATTTTGCCCCAAATTGACCTGTAGGGCCTCTCCTCTCCCCAAACCCTCTAGCTGAAATTACGTATCTATAGTCATGTCTATGTTAATTTACAAAATTGATTAAGCAAAGAATTTAAGTATCACAAACTAGTTGAGAAAATGTATGCCTTAATACAGGATAATTTATATTAATTTTACAAAATGACTGTGATATACGTACATATATCTTAAAAGAAGCACATCAGTCAATTTTATGTATATGTATAGACACACACACAAATATGGAAGGAGCAGGATAGAAAGAGTTTCTGTGTATCCTTTTGTCTATATTCTTGACCCTTGAATCATGCAAATTATCTACTCAAGAAAAAAAGAATTTACAAAAATTCCTTAAATTTAAAATAGCGTCGAACAACTCAGCCCAACTACATTCACGTCAGCAACATACTAATTTAAACATATATTCAAAGAGAGGGTTTGTTTCAAAGGACTTTAGAACCAGCATTTTATGCGGGATGCCTTCTAAAGACCAAATAAAGTACAAAGAGATTTTAGTAGTTTAGCAATTCTAATTGTTTTATAATATGTATTGTTATTTGAAATTATAGGATAAAGCAAATAAATAATTATACTTAACATTACATACAAATGATATTTGTAATCAGGAATTTTCTGGGTAAGAGAAATGAGACACAATTTAAAAAAATCAAAGAAAGTGAAAACATTGTGTTGTTATCATTGAATGCTTGCATTTTAATTAAATAGTACATATGTGTATGTGTGTCATACAAAGATCCAAAAAATATATACTCTGAGGTTAGTTAACGGTACTACTATTTGGGTGGTGCAAATATGATGTTTTTATTTTCTTACGTTTTGCTTGTTTCTATTTTTTAATTCTCTATAAGGCACACGTACTACACCTAAACTAATATATATAATTATCATATACATAGTTAATATACATAATGGATGCTTTCATTGTAATTGTACCAAAAATGAACAAAAACTATACTGCTAATAAAAAAGGATTTAGCCACACTAGGCTACATTTTGTGTTTGGGATTAAATGAACATAACACTTGTAGCACAGATCCTCCTCGACTTAACGGTGCAGTCACGTTCCAAGAAACTTATCATGAGTTGAAAATATCGTTAAGTCGAAAACTCATTGAATACACCTAACCTACCAAACATCGTAGCTTAGCCTAGCCTACCTTCAACATGCTCAAAACACTTACATGAGCCTAGAGTTGGGCAAAATCATCTCACACAAAGGCTGTTTTATAATAAAGTGCTGAATATCTCATGTACTGTACTGAAAGTGAAAAGCAGAAGGGTTGGATGGGTACCGATGGGGGTCAGTGTATGGATTGTTCACCCTCGTGATGGCGGGGCTGACTGGGAACTGCACTCGCTGCCCTGCCCAGCGTCATGAAAGAGGATAGTACTGCATGTCACTAGCCCCGGAACAGATGAAAATTCAAAATTCGAAGTATGGTTTCTACTGAATATGTGTCGCTTTTGCACCATCATATAGTCGATAAATTGTAAGTTGAACCGTCGTAAGTTGGGGACTTTCTGTATACATAGTAGCTTCTAGAATGTGAGCTCATATGAGGACAAGTGTGGTGTGACGGTGCAAAGCTCTGACTTACTTTTTCATCTGGTAGTAGCCCTTCTTCACGGTCCCAAAGTTACCAGATCCCAGCTCGTTTTCCTCCAGGGTCAGCAGATTTCGATCCAGGTAGACCTCCTTGGGCCTGATCTCCTCGGGGTCCGCATAGGGGCTTTCATACACCTCAGTGTCCATGGGCATGGCTTCTCTCTGGGTGTCTGCAACACAGTCAAGGAAATAACCCTGGGCTGGATCCCTCATGAAAATCCTGTCATCTCCCATTCCTACCTCCTGTGGTCACACTTCACTTTTCACGACCTTGGTCCCGTTGGGCAGCTATGGTGCCAGTGAGTACTCAGGGCACAGTCTCCCCAGCTTGTAGGAGGCAGCAGAAAGCCCCCCATCTCCATTGTACTCGACCCCTGTTCTTGCACTAATGTGCATCGAGGAAGGGTCTTTCACGCCAGAGGCAAAGATGGATGAGGCCCTCCTAATGGGCTGTGGTGGCTTTAAACTATGAAAATTCTGACACTCCTTCCATTGAGAGACCAAGTCTATGTCACCTCCTCTTGGTGGCTTTTGTAACTGTGTCACCCAACAGAGTATATCATAAGTGACTTTGGGATATACTCAGGCGAGGTTATAAAAGCCCAGGCACCTTCTGCCTCATTGGCTGGAAACCCGGCTCTTGACGCTTCAGATGCCATGCAAGGTGTCCAACTGCCCTGACACCTTCCACGCTGTGAGAAAGCCCAGGCCAGCCTACACAGACTCGGAGACCACATGGCCCTCAGACTAAGTGGAGACAGGGAGACGCTGGCCAGCCCCCAGTGCCCCAGCCTCACGGGGCTGGCCCAGCTCCAGCCCCAATCTGACTACAAGAGTCCCCCAGCCACGACCGCCCAGCTGAGCCTTGCTCAAACTCCTGACTTGCCCAAGATAATTATACAAGAGATAATTAAATGACTGTTATTGGTTAAAGCCAATAAGTTTTGAGGTGGTATTTGTAGCAATCAACAGACCGAGTTTACCAATAAAAAAAATAACCTGGGGCCACACAGAGAACCCAAGAAGGTCATCCAGAGGCCCCATTTCTGAGAACACCAGGAGGTATTTTCCGGAACAGTATCCTCTCATAGCCTCACAGAATCAGTACAATTCCCTCTAGAATGTCTAGTATTCCAGCAACTCAGACATGCCTTCAGTTTTTACCAGCACCTTCTGCTGAAACTTATCAGTGGACACATTTTTCCAAGAACACAATCTTAGAAATGCAAACCTTGAGTAGTATCAGCATTATAAGAGGTGAGAAATTCCGAAGCAGCAGCACCAAAGAACATTTTCAGTGTTGCCAATTTATTGTGAGAGAGGCTGTAGGGACCATTTCACCCAACAGAACACCACTATTCATGGACATGTGACACCTGCTATCCGCCACCAGACAATAGTGTCACGTATTGCTAACCATCGTTATGCTACCATTGCCGACCAGGGATGAACTAGCGAGCCAACTCTACAATTCCCAAGGACTGTGGGAAGCATTTCTGCACTATGAATGCCCAGAGACGAAAAGTGCATCTCTCACCTCTTTCCGGGCCCGAGGGCCCTCTATCGGGCTCATAAGGGTTGAACGTCGCGGAACTCTCTGGGCGGTTCCCTTGGGATGAAGAGCTCTGAAGTACACAAATGATAACAGGTCACTTTTCTTCATCGATACACCATGGAGCTGATCTGCACAATTATTTTTATTTTCAAGTAATCACATTTTAACGTATGCAGGGAAGACAAAGGAAAGAATTAGGAAGAGAGACAGGAAGAAAAACACATGGCTTATCTCATTCTTCGGGCAACTGCTTGGTTCCTGTGAGGGCTCGATAAGGCTCAAGCTCTGACAACTGGAGGGGCCTGCCAGGGTCTCAGAGGGGCTGTGAGAGAATGCTCAGCACCGCTTTAGGAAGAATTACCTCCCTACCTACAGGCCCTTGCAAATCCTACCTCCACCTACCAAAAGATACTCATTATCCCCTTAGATTCATTTCCCCCCTTAACTCTTTCTCTCCCGTTCTATGTTATACAGAAGTTATTTTACAAGAAACATTAACTATCCACCAGCTGCTTCCACCCACTCCCCAGCACCAAAGTGTCCATGCTTTCCTGGTTTCCACTGTGTCTTTCTCTTCGCTGGAGGTCTAGCAACATGTGGGTGATGCCAGAGGGTAGCACTGGCCAGCAAGCTAGAGGACCCCGGAGGAAGGCAGCTGCCACCAGCCCAGGTCCAGTGCTGCTGCCGCTGCTAATAACAATAACAATAATTTTCATCATCATCACGGGCCCCGTGAGGTGGGGAAGACTTTTTTTTTGCTAACCTGAAGGAAGGTAATTCTTCCTTGTACTCAGAGCAGGTAACACGTGTATCAAAACAAAGCTTTGCCAGCCATTATTAACGGCAACCTTCCCTATTGGATATACATCAATTTGTATCATAAAATAATGGGGGAAAAATCTACTCCTTATATTCCTAAAACCTTTCCTTTTTGAAAGTCTCTATCTTGAGTCTTCATGACCCACCCTCACTCCCAACTTAAAACAGCTATTGCTACTAAATTTGGTTCCTGGGAAAACCACAATTCAAACCATTTTTTTGATGTGAGTTGAGTAGAAATTTTATATACACATTTACCTTCTCAGTGCCCAAACACTGGCCACGAAGAAATGAGATACTGCCAGATTTTGGAGAAATATAAAGAAACAGAGACATTAAGCTTAATTTTACACAGTCGCTTATCTTCCAGCACACACGGAATCCTCGTCTGCCTTCCTGCCCTCACAAGCCTGGGGACCAAAAGTACAACAATGCAGTCACAATGGGCCACTTGTCTCCAAAACCTCGACTTCCTTCTTCAGGCTGTCTCCCGAGGGCTAGAGAACCACTGCGCACACTGGCAAAGGCCCATCTGACCAGGCTAAAGGACATTGCTCTTATGTGTCAATGGGATGTTGTTGGCTCCATCCTCTCATTACTATCCCAGCATCCTTATTGAACTGTTTAATAGAAGTAGCTATGATATATCAAGAATGGAAACAGAGTATAAGTTCTGGGGGCACAGTCATTGGTTCACTGCATCAGAGCTTTGCCACGCCCTCCACTGGCACTCAATGAAAATGTGTCGAACAAACACACGATGAATGCACGAATGAATGAATGGAGAAACTTCTTAAAACTAGAAGATGTGAAGTGTAAACTAATGTGAGTTAACAGTGAGTTATCTTTCAAGTCTTCTCCTAATGGAGGGAGATAGGTGTGGATAGTTCCCAATGACACTCTGCCTCTTTTAACAACTTACATGTGGTTACAGGACTCCCGGATGGGCAGTGGGCTCACCTCTCATTTGTAATGTAATTACCCCGTCTCGACAGAACTGTCCTTGGAGAAATGAGGTAATCCCCAAGGCTTTCCATCCTCTCCCTCTGCCCAGTACCCTCCTGCAATCAAACTCCAAGATGAAATAGTTTTCAAATTTAAAAAAAGTCTCTTTTAAGTTCACATTTACTATCATTTAAACTTCTCTGATTTTCCCTGCAGGTAGGAAAGTTTTTTAATCCAAGGACAAAGCTTCAAGACACCAGGACCAGCCGTCAAGGACAAGGAGAGGGCACCGGCACCCTTTTTCTCGACCATAACACCTCCAGCCCTCTGCCCACGTAGGACGTATCCTGGGGCTGCAGCCTCTCCATGCTATTGAAAGTTCCCCAGAGCAGAGGGCTTCATAAAGGCTGATACAGTTAAGCCTGAATGCAACGACCTGACATATGAATCCTATGGGGAAGAATTTTAAACAAAAGTGGGGGTGTAAAAATTCTGGAAATGATACCAGGGCATCAGGAGTAAGAATTAGCAGAGATGGACACAGCGAACCTAAAGCCCCGGACAGACTAACGCACACTCCCATTGGTGGGTGCTTCTCCCCCCGGTCAGTCTCGGCTGTGGATAAGGAAACAGGTCAGGGGTCTCCTCTGGAAGGTCGGGCCCCAAGTTTTCGGCCGAGGTGGCTCAGGGCTTCAATTCAACGCTGCCTGGCAGCCCACCACGCCATGACGGCCGAGCCCCACGTTTCAATAACCACGTCAGCTCCTTGCCCGGACCCCTCGGCCCTCCGCCCTCACTGGGACAGAGGATGGCACCACATTCAGGAGAAGATTCTTTGGAAGACATGGGAGGTTTTCTGCTGTGTCCGTTAAAAGGTGGCGCGACTTGATGATGAGGATGGAGATACAAAATGCAACTTGCATCTTTCCCCAAGTAGCTGATGAATACGCCGTTTAGTAGAACAACAAAAACAACAGAAATCCTCTGGAATCAAATAATCAGTTGGAAAGAAGATGTGAGGACTTTGTAAAGAATATGCTCTAAGGCATAATGATAAATTATGAAATACTGATTAGTGTTTAGCATTTAATGAAATTTTAATTCAATGAAAAACATACTGCTGGTCCACTCTATCATTTGTCAATATTCTTTCTGCTTTGTATTTGAGGGTTTATTCTGCCCTAATCCATAGAATCACCTTTTCTGCACACAGAACAGGTGTAGTGAAAGGCGTGAATGAAATGTGACTTCTTTTTTCCCATTTTTCAAAGCAGAAGTCAGATCTGCAGGCCATCACTAGATGGCACTGGCTACCTTAGTTTCTACCTTCCAAAGGGCAATTTGTGATTTTTCTTTAAGTTTTATCAATTCAGGTAAAAACAGATCACTCCACAATAACAAAAAGAAAATTAGGTCAGGTTATAAATTATGATCCCTGGTCTCTTACTGGCCAGGCTTAACTGCAAGTACAAAATGTATTTGACAAATACTATTTGAATGCGTATGTTTAAGAAGTGGGGATTCAGAAGCAAACAAAAGAAAAAAAATATATAGCCCTTGTGGGGCTGACAGGTGAGTTGAGAGTTTCTTGACTTAGGAGTACTGCTGTGTGTCCCAGCATCCATTTCTAGACCTTGATTTTTAGATTTCTCGAAATACATTTTCAAATCAGGCAAGAGCAGTATTAAAGATGACAACATACTTGTCACAATTGCAGTGACAAAAAGAGCCAGGAGGCTTCAGAACTATCGGCTGCCGTAAACAGACACGGTTCTGGTCCCTGCTGGAATGACCGTGGTCCAATGGGAAACAAGGTCCCACCTTCCAGGGCAGACCCTCCTTGGCCAGGACATCGGATAATATGAGGTTTGCTTCAGATCCACAAAAATAGACACTTGACCTTCACAAGTAATCTTCCCTCATCTTCGAAGCAGAGATCTAAAATCCGGCCCTTTACAATGGTGTGGAAACACATTTTCTCAAGGGTCTGGCCCGTGGCTTAGGCCTTATCAAGTAAAAGAGTATGGCTTGAGAACTTATTTTTCTTAGTTCTCTCTCCCAGCTGAACCCTAGTGAATTGTGTAGTTAAATATAAATCTTAAACTATTCCAATCACCAATGTATGTGTTGGAATAAAACATGAAAAACGGGTTTTAATTTGAAATTCTGAAACACTTTTCTACAACTAAGATAAATGTGCATGCTGTGTCTCGTCTTAGAGAATGTGCCTTTGAAATATGAAATGGAAGCGCTGTCTTTAAGGATGTTGTTGTTCAAACTCTGCCAGTTTTCCTTAATAGAAGGAATTTGAATTTATGCCTGAATTTGTGCCTGAATTTATGTACTTAAAGTAGCAAAGAAAAATATTCCACTGCTGTTAATAGGAGGAATTTTATTCATTTAAGGGACAACCAGTCCTTAAGGTAAGTATATGGTAGGGGGTGGGGAGAGAGTGAATCACACTTATATTCTTTAGTCAAATTCATTTATATTTTTTAGTATTAAAATGTTTCTTATCGCTAAAGAAAAATTTAAAATACACCTGCCCTTAAGTTTTTATTACGAAATTTCAAATTATCTGATTAATAATCTTCAAATCAAAACATCCTTTTTATTAACTACCTATATACTAGAGTTAATTCAAGTTCTAACATATCCTTTTTGTACCTGAATTATTAAAAACAACTATTTATATTGATCAAATTAACAAATTCAAGAAAGTTATTTACACTTTAGCTAAACAGATGGAATATGTGACCCTTCTCATGACAGGTTAAATAATGGAAAATTCCCCTTCTATTTGTGAAAACATAAATATTAGTTCTCCTAGAATATTTCTGATGAGTAATTAAAATATTTTTAGTCCATAACTTAAATCACACAATCCTACTCTTCTATCAATTAACTATTGATATTTTGGCATCTATGAACATTCAATACATGCTTCAAAGTTGTTATAAATTTAAATCGACAATAGCAGTTTCTTGCCAGAAAAGTATTTTCACAGTGTTAATCAGATTAATTACTTTCTAATATTTAATTCTCTTTTAAAAATTGATTAAATAATCTTAGTGAGTGCAAATTTAAAAAGGCACAACAGAGTTTACAATAAAAAGTGGGTCTTCCTTGACACCCCTGTTTCTTACCCTCAAGGCAACTAGTGTTACCAGTATTTTCTGTATTCTTCCAGAATATTCTATACTATATGAGTACATATACAGCCATGCCTTTGTTGTTTGTAATTAACACTGCATTTTGGAAACAATTCTAGATCTCAGCTGCCTCTCATGGTATGAATTTTATTGTAACTGATTTCATTTATTTCCCATTGATAGACTTGTAAATTATTTCTGGACTTTGTCAGTTACATGATGACATATATACATGATTCATATATACATGATACACATAAATGCAAGAATATCTGTATGATAAATATCTAGAAATAAAATTGCAGTTAAGAAGTTATATGTGCTTTTAATTTTGATGGATGTTGTGAAATCGCCTTTCTTAGAGAGGGTATCATGTCACTCTTCTCCAACAGGTGTGACAGTGCTTATTCACTGCACCCTTGCCACACACCGTCACCAAGCTTTTTTATTTGGATCAGTTTCACAGTGCACGTAACAGAGCACAATAGTTTTAACTTGCATTTCTCTTATTATGAAATGGAACAGCTTTTCCTATGTTTAAGAGCTATTTATACTTGCTTTACTGTCAACTACCAACTGACATCCTCTGCCCATTAGCCTGTTAGAGAGTTAAAACTTTTCTTATTGATTTATAGAATTTCTTTATGTATTAAAGATATTAACCTTATATGTGTAGCATCCTTACTGATTCTTATTCCTGGTTTATTATTTCTCTTTTGATGATCTTTTGGTTCTTATCCATGCATATTTTTCTTTATTTTTAGGTAGCCTGACTGATATTTTCTTCAACTTTCTTTAGACATGTTCTCCTTTAGTCTAGAGATCTACTAAACTTATTTTCTGGATATTTCTTTAGTCACTGTGTGTGACCTGAGTTGGCTTCAGCCTGCATGGGACAACGACAGAGGTGGGAGTGGGGCTGGTTTCTCATAATGCTGGGTTACTGTTTGTTGGGTAATGGCTTTTTGATGTGTCAGCGTGGCTAGCCTGAACTAACAGAGACACGGCTAGTCTCTGTTATTGAATCAAACTGTGATCTCAGTTCCCCTGTGGAGGGATTTTGCAGACGTAATTAAAATCCCTAATTAGTTGATTTAAGTTAGGAAGATCACCCTGGGTGGGCCTGGCTTAACAGTCAAGAGCCCTTAGAAGAGAGTTGAGGCTTTCCCAAGAGAGACAAGCTGGGGGAAGCGAGACTGACCCCTAGCTCTGGACGACAGCATCGGCCTGCCTGAGAGGTTCTGTCCTGCTCTTAATCTTCCCTTCCTGACGGCCTGCTCTGTGGACATGGACTTGCTTAGCCAGACCTACAATTGTGTATGGCAAGTCCTTGTGCTAGATCTACATGTGGACGTGTATATAGATGTGTGTATGTGTAAATATGTCTGTGTGTGTGTGTCATATATGTACCTCTGTGTGTGTGTCTGTTTTATACATAAATCTCCGACTGCTCATGCTCCCCTGGTTGAGCCCTGAATGATGCACTTGGAAACCACAGAATTAAGATAAATGTGGAATGCCGTGTCTACTGTTTACAGCCAAATCGCTCATCTCTGGGACTGCTCACGGGCTGGGGGCCGTGCGTTGGCACACAGGCCTTGAGCCATCATAAAGAGATGAATGCACAAGCCGTGGAAACTGGGGGTGTGGCCCACGTCCATGGGCCCTCCCCATGGCTGCCAGGCAGACCCTGTGTGTGGAGGGGCCAAGGAAGCCGGGCAAGTGAGGGGTCCTGGGCCTACTGATGGGGCTCTGTGTATGCCGTGTGGGCTGCCCTGAGTTGTTCTATGAAGTTCTGTCAATGCAGCGTTCGTTAAGGACTCTTGCTTCTTGTGTCTGACTGCAAGACCATGGTGGTGGAGTCACGAATTGGAACTAAATTTATAATCATAACCTTGAAAAGACAATTCATGATTGAAAAGCACCCTGAATCAGAACACTTTCTGAATCACCTCCGGTGACAGGGCACTGGCTGTCCTATTTCTCACTGGGCTAAAGTCCTGTGAGATGCCTTCCTGGCAACCGAGCGGAGCCCTCTCCAAGGACAGGGTCCAGGGCCAGGCGGACCAGAAGGTGTCAGCCGTGAAGAGCTTTGCCTGGGCTCATGGGCAGTGTGCACTTCTTCAAGCCCAATGCCTCAATCGCCTACTGGCCCTGGTGGCTTGGAACAAACACCAAGTCGTGGGGCAGAAGGGACACGGACACAGAGAATGTATCGTCTTGACAACCAGGTCCCCACCTCCTAACAGGCTATCCCCTGGCACAGGCAGCCCTCACTGTCGCCCCCTAAAAGGGATGCCTCATCATAGCTGACATTTCCCACGAGCCGATCCACACTAACTGGGAACATGACACGAAAATAGACAGTTACTCCGTTTAGGTTTTTCACATAACTTGCCCCTCAAACAACAGATGAAACTCACTTCTCTGTTCCATGGTCAACAAGACTGAGACGGTCTGGAGCATGACTGCCACTTGGAAAATTTTTACTAAATAAAATCTCAGGGATTTTGTGCTTTTTATTTCTGTTGTTTCTAATAAGTATATTAGGCAATCTGATTCATGACTTGATGCCCAATTATAAGCTGAAATGTTTGGAAAAATACCAAATGATATGAAAAGGGAAATAATAATAAAAGAATCAATTTTATGCCACCAATGATAAAAGTAGAAAGGAAAAAAAGGAATCCACACACTTATTATATATATATTTTGATATATATACAGTAAAGTATAAAAATGCATATGTCAACCTGACTGCCTCATAAAGAAACATGATGTTTCTAAGCCTCAAATTCCACCTCGTCTGTATACATGCTCTATTTCAGGTTCTGTGTTGGAAATCTACAGCCACAATGAAGTGACTGTGGCACCTGATATCTACAAAATAAACGGCCTGCAGCATTCGCTGTGCAGGACCCACAAAACCTTGGCTTTCCTTCGTCGATACATAATTTATAGAATCAATGACCATGACACTGCAACATGTGATCCTGGCAACTCAAAAGTAACTTGGCTCCCTTTGAAAAGATTTTCCTGTATGAGACTTAGCTCCCACCCGTCACGCTGACCGAATGACTTTCAAGCGCACATTTTAGCAGAGCGAGCGGGCTCACGGTGCTGGACTTGGCAGCAAAGTGACTCGGACCCACATGGAAAGCACAGTGAGTACCGGCGTGGACTGCCCACACGCGGCCAGGAGACCGAGACCAGAGCAGCAGGAGGGTCAGCGGCGGGGCACACGGAGGGGCAGCCGGGGGCAGAGCGTGGGTGCTGCGTATGGGTCAGTCCTACCACTTAGTCAGGGACAGCGAGCAGGGTACGCTTTAGCACCTTTCTGTGGCCAGGCTTTGGGAAGGAGTATGATTTGATTCTTGAGATTATTCCACCCGCTGACCAGGTCTAGAAACCACAACGGCAAAGAGGAACAGTAAATGTTTCAGAAGACAAACACAGCTCGCTTACACAACGTGTTCTTTTAACTTGCCTTACAGTTACACTGCCAACCCCTCCATTTCTGCCCATGAGATTCTCTAGGGGCAACACTTGATCATTAGGGATGCTTCAGGAAAAGCCCGCCACCTAAGCAGAAGGATCTGGAGAAATATTTTAGTAATATTTTCCATGGAAGGCTATAAAATTAGAGCTGCTACGTTAATACCCATGTTTCATATAGGATGAGTAAGTCACAAACTCAAGACAATGATTTGTCTAAAGAAACTAAAAGTAAGTCTGACTGCTCAATCTTCTTACTTCTTTGGGTGTTTGTGGAAATTCATTGAGGTGGACACATAGGGCACGTGCATTATTTTCTGCGCGTATTTCACCAGTCAATAATGTTTTTCCAAAATAGCTAAGTTCTTGAAGCCATTGGATGATGCATGGCTAAACATAGGGCCTGATATTCTTTTAAGAATTCTAGCCCTAAGCCCTCATCCATATTAGAGGAAAATGGATCTGTCTCTTGGAGCATGTGATGTTCAAGTAGACTCATCAGGCCCATGAGCCATGTGAAGAGTAAGATAAAATGATGCTCCATAAAGGTGCTATATTTAGACATTGATCCCAACGTTCACTGGTATTTTAGCAAATTCCAGTTCCCCCAATCTGGTGACAAGTGCTGCCCGGAAAGCCTTCTTGTTTTAATGTAGGCACAGCTTCTGAGCATCAATAGTCCGCTGGGGGCAGAATGTACATTCCACTTTCTGTGGATTTTGTTTTTAAGGGCTAACAGGCAAAAAGTGACGTATAGAGTGCACAGCTTATGACGGGGGAATTTCTACACTGCACACGTGGCAGTGAAGGGCATTGTGGGGTCCACGGTGAGGTCCCCAACTCAGCTTTGAGTTTAAATATGTGCGTCAGCTCCTAACAGACTGGAGGGAGGAGGGGGGTGGGATTCTCTCTTAGGGGCATCAGGCACGCGTTGGGAAAACCCACATGGAGAGGTGTGGATGGGCCACATTCTCATCTCCTGTTGACGTGGAGGGGGAGGTGGGTTCCGACCAAGCTCCCGACTCCAAACTTCTCTAGTGGTTTACCTCTTCCGATGCCACCGAGCACCCCCCTCCCAAGCCTCCCTCTGCTAAGCTATTGTCAAACCAGCTCTCCAGGAAAGGTTGAGTCTTCTGATGACAATGTCTTGGTTGATTTAGCCAAAATAGTTGGGCAGACCACCTCAGGAATATATCTGATAGACCAGGCTCATGACACTGATCAGGCACGTGGTCACATAGATCGTGCACAGGGGTCCACACAGGTGGTTCCAGACCGAGCCTGAACAATATGTCACCATATCCCAAATCTGCCAGGAGGCATATTTCCGATTTAACATTGAGTTTCATGGTCATTTTGGATACTTTTAGAAGATGGAGAGAATTTAACCTACCAAAGAAATTAACTTGGCTGGCTTAGAACTGAAAATAGGCTGATTCTAGCTGACACTCACCAGCAATCCCAGTCTATCAAGTGTGATGAAAACAATTACTGCTACTCCTCGCAGCTAAAACCTGCTCTTCACTGTGCTAATATACAACCGCCTCCCCTTCATCAGGACGTCCAACAACACTTACCGCAGGATGGGAACTTGGAAGCTGTGGACGAGCTCCAAAATTAATATTTCCTGGTTAGAAAGAGCGTGGACAATTACTGCTATATCAGCGAAAACCACCAATTTACCCACCCACCCCCAGCAGATCAATCACTGATTATAAAATATTACAGCTTAAGAAGTAGATACCTGTCGTCTGCATACATTTCTCTTCATCTTCTTTCACTCAACTTTCTCACATATGCAATTAAAACTAGATGGTTTTTTAAAGTTAAAATTATCTGTTATTTTTTGAGTAACGATATATTTAAAATTGGAGCAATCTGACATCATTTTTAATCAACCAGTAAAAACAAGGCCTGGTCCCGCTTGAATTTGCAACAGACCCAGTCTAAACCAAGGCTGATGATTATCAATATCTGAAAGACCAAGACTCCAGTGTCTCAGTGACTCACCTGTCTGCCCGCCAATTTTTTGACATGGAACTGTAAGGACTCTTAACAAACCATCTGCTTTATAAGAATAATGCTCGACGAGCTGGAAGAGAAGAAGGTAAGAAAGTGCGATAAATACCGGGGCAGGAAATGGAGAAATCTGACCCGGAGCAGCTGACTCCCCTTTCGGCTTAAAAGTGATCCAAGGACAACCCTTAACAACAACACGTGCTGCCTTGGCTGGTCTTCCTGATCCTTCCCCACATCTCTCTCCTCCGGCCTCAGACTCTGGACAGAGGTCCACATGCCCCTTCTGGACCCTACTGCACTCCTGGCTCATGCCCTCCCTTCCTCCCTCCCTCTCTTCTCTCTCCCTCCCTACCGCTCTTCCTTCCTTCCTCCCTTCCTCCTTTCCTCTCTTTCTCTCTCTCTTTCTTTCTCTGTTTCTTTCTCCCTTCCTTCCTTCCTTCCTCCCTCCCTCCCTCCCTCCCTCCCTTCCTTCCTTCCTTTTTCTTCCTTTCTTTTTGTAGCAAGTTGCATTTATTGTTTATATTTTCCTACATCCACGTGATGTTATAAAAGCAAATTCAGCATGCTAAGATTTGTTCATTTATTCAGTTGTTCAACAACCATTCTGCCGTGTGCTAGGCCCTGAGACAGGACAAAGGTAAACTAAAGTGAATGAGACACAGCTCCTGCCCTTGAAATGTTTACATTCTTGGTGGAGAGACAGATAAACAAATGACAATGTAGAGGGATTAATGCGTCATAGTGCTGTGGACAAAGACTCTGGAGGGACCCAAAGTTTCAGAGAGAAGACATCACAGCACAGGTGACATAGGAGCTGGGACATGGGGAAAGGTGACCTTTTGGAGAATGGCCTTATGTTGACAGAACATGGGCATCCTTGGCTAATGGCTCCCAGAAAACTGAATCACGACGTCCAATTTCTACATTAAAAAAATAAGTTAATCGCTAGTAGGTCTATTTATATCTAATCAAAATTGTGCAATAGGAAGGCAATCTTGGTATCTTACATTTTCTTTTCTCATGCAGACATTTCCTCTTCAGACAACCTAAAATCTTCATACTGCTCTCTCTTCCTTATCTGTTTATGGGTACTTTTTCCCAGTTAAAGACTCTTTGCTCCTGAATCTTTCCTCTCCAAACTTACCTGCTCGGAGGAATGTCTGTTGAATCAATATATTTAACCCTTCCAGGTAGCATTCTTTTTTTTTTTTTTTTTTAAATTTTATTACATGGTGGTAAGAACACTTAACGTGAGATCTACCGTCCTAACAAGTGTCTCAATCTGACCAGCCCTAACAGGCTCTGAAATGGACACCAAGCTCTCCCTGTTGTGTTAAATGCAGTGCTGTGTTCTCAGGCCAACAGTGTTGAAGCCCTAAAGCAGTCAATACACCCCATCACCCTCTCCAACTGTCATTTAAACATCTCCTTAAATGCTTCTGCTTTCAGACAATCTACCCCACCAGGGTGGATGGGGAGGTGGGCACACTTGTAAGGGTTTCCCTCTTGGGCAGGGGTCTGCAAACTTTTTCTGTAAAGGGCCAGATGGTGATATTTTAGGCTTTTTCAGGCCACATACCATCTCTGTCACATGGTCTTTTATTTTTTTAAACCACTCTTTAGAGTATAACAACCATTTTCTTCAAGGACTACACAAAAACAGGCCGGGGGCCAGATTTTGCCCGTGGGTTTGCCGACCTCTGCTCCAAAGTAAGGAATACTGGGGTAGTCTAGTAATTACCAACTCTCAGGCAAAGAGCACCAGACTCCTGATAGGGATTGGCACGGAGGTACCTTACACCACTGTCAAGAAAAACCAGTGAAATCACACCTGTAAAGATTGAAGGCACTGCTGGCATTTTTGATGCTCTTTCTTAAACACAGTGGCTAGAAAATATACAATGGGAAAGATTTAATTAGGGCTGAATGCTATGATATGCTGGAGGCATCAATGACCATGGGAAAGAGTCTTGGGAAGGAACTTTCCAACAGTCAGAGATGTTTAGCACCATAGGGAGTGCACAGACTGATACTGTGATAGACTCACAGGAGGAAAACGGCCACGCAGGAGAAGCCCAGTGGCTGCGTCCCAGTGATGGAGCCGGGGCCTTCCATCAAAGGGACTGTCAACCATTCTTGTAGGAGGCCAGGGGCTTGGAGGGGAAATTAATACAGGAAGGCAGCATTCCTGACTCATCTCTGATTTGCATTGGGCACTAGTCCCCGATAGGCTACATACTCTTTCAAATCGGTACCATTGAAATAAAGCAAAGCCTGTGGTTGATAATGAGTCATATGCTAATGAGCCACAAACCAAAAGGCGATGTTAGTGTTATGACTAATCTGGATAAACATTACAATACCCAACGTTCAAAGAGAAGTACTATTGTTTTCAACTACAGCATTAGGAACCAACATACCTTAGGGGTGGGTACCCTAAGTGCCTTAAAGGTAATGAGGATCCCTGGTCTCAGTTTTTAAATAAAGGGACAGGATTTTGAGGTGAGTCCCTTCCTGCTATTCCCACACGTGAGATTCCTGGCCAGCCAGGTGAGGACACTGGAACATGTCCCAGATGACGTCCCTCACTCACAAAATCTCACGTGGTTGTTGCTCTCAGGGCCGGCAGAGTCTCTTGGTTTCTCTGTCTCCGGACTCCCCAGGTTTATAGGATCTTTGTGAAATGATGCTGCAGTACGGCCATTGACATTTCCTCCTGTAGCCATGACTTAAGATTAAGACAAGCTGTTTGTGCCCACAACAGCCGATGGGAAGCAGTGACGAGCAGCATTTTAGGGCTCCTTAGTACCTAAGTAACTCCCCAGGGGTGAGCTGACTCAGGGCTTACTAACAGTTGGGTCAAGAATAAGCCCTTGTAGACCAGGGCTGAACCATGCTGCCCAAGCAGCGGCTGCAGCGTGGAGTGCTGACTTACTGTCTCAACTGCCTGACTTTCCACAGAGACTCATTTTGCAGTGGGAGTGGCACCCAACATTGTAGATTCAATTCAGCCTCTCACAACTCAAAGAACGGTCCCATTAGCCGCCTCCGTGCCTCCTTTCCCGGCAGCCACCCCTTTATTTTGTGTGTATTTGTCTGAGAGGCTGCTCTGGGTTCCAGGTAGAATGTCTTAGAAAGAAATGGGTTCTGGCCCCCAAGGCAGGCCCTCCCGTTAAACTGAGCACAGTCCTTAGTGGGCACTGGCCCGTGGTGCCCAGAGCTGAGTGGCCCTGAACAAGCTACGGAACATTCCAGAGCCTTGTTCACCAAACGTGATGACCCCTAGTCCGGCGCTTCTCACCCTTGGACATTTGTAGAGGCACCTGGAGGCTGATAAGCAGGCTCTGATTGGGAAGGTCTGGGGCAGGGACCCGAGTGGGCATTGCTAACCATCTCCAGGGCCCGGTTCCTCTGGTTTCTGAGGATGCGTGTACCTGCCAGAGCGTGTCGAACTTCTTTCCTTCCGGGATGGACAGCTTCCCCGTTTTGTCCTTATCGATTCGGTAGTGCAGCACCTTCCCCTCGTGCAGCAGGCACAGGGCGTAAGACCCGTTGTTGTCCCTGGCCCTGATCCTGGAAGACAGGAAACGGCGTATCACCCAGGCCCACGGGTCCTGCAGGAAGACACGCCCTGGGCAGGCACCTGCAGCAGCGTCCCCACCTTGGGGTCACGGGCTCTGCCCAGCACACCCAGGGAGGCCCCGCTTACAGCTCAGTGATGGTGGCGTGTGCACCACAGGAAAGGCTACGGGTTGGGGATGGGCTTCGGGCAAGGCCCAGCGGGCCTGGGAGCCCTGGGTGGGCAGCAGGAGGGGCCCGGGCTCCACACGCGAGTCTTGGTTCACCTGGAGCAGCAACACCACTCAGGGCACCAGCACACGGGACCTACGGGACTCCCGAGTTGGGCGGGAAGCAGGGGCTCCTTGGAGCCTCTGCACTCATCTCTCTTCACTGAGCTCTGCTTGGGCTCAGATTCCAGCCAGTGCAGCTCCGCCACCACCTGGCCCAGAGTGTGGCAAACACCCACGGGGGGTGTTTGGGGGGCATTTTAACTAGGACCTTCTGGACCACAGGTGGAGCAGGTGAAGGCTCCCGTCTCCAGGGCCCTCTTCACTCCCCTCACACTCTCCCCTTGTAGGGAGGGGAGGGCAGAGCCAGGATTTAATGTTGTTCCATCTGATACCGTCAGATGAAGTCACCGGGAGAAGAAAACGTCATCCACCGTGGAGTGAGGAACGCCAAGCAGAATTGGGGCTGCGCCGGGCTGTGCCGACCATCGAGGCTCTGCCCCTATCGTGCGTGCGAGTTCTCTGGGGTGCGGCCCTCCTCCCTCATCCTGGTGAATGAGACTTGCCGGTCCCATAATAAGCAGACAAGATAGCCTCTGTGATGCACAAATGGGGGGATTCTGCACAGGGAGAGGAGAGCGGCTGCTGGGGAGGCCTGTGGGATTTGGGGAGGGCACCGTCCAGGCCAAGGCTACAAAGGCATGAAATGGACATGAACCCCTCACCAAATTGAGCTCCTTAGTCACCCCATGCTCAGCCCATTTTCCCCTCTCAGCAACTCAAGCCCTTTGGATCACAAGGTCTGAGAGAGGGTGAGTCACAGAGGTCCGCGAAACCTCACCGGCCCTGGCATTTTCAAAAATGAGGAAATTGAGGCCCTAAACTGTTGAGCAAGGTGCCCAAATGCACTGTATTTTGGGAAGAGTTCAAATGTGCCAAGCGGCTGGGGGACTTTGCTGTTTTGGGGAAATATCTGACTTCTCTTCCCGGTCACAGGAGGTCACCTCCACGAGTCGGGCTTGGGAAAGGGATGTGGTCATATGTTCCTCGGCCTTGTAGATTCATCTCGAACATCGAACCCAAGGCCTGAGCACTGAGCTGTGTCGTGTGGGGCGAGACCTTGTTTTAAAAATAAATTTCTTTTCAAGTCGTGCTTGGCTGTGCACGATGGACAGGTTCCCTCCTCGCCCCCCGCCCAGGGCAGCTGATGCAGGTGTTGGGACACACCCAGACCCCCTCTGCCTCGACAGGGCCCTTCTGAAACCCACACCCTGAAAACAGCTCCCTCCTCCCAACCCAACCATGTCACCAGCCCCGAAGCGAGCACACGCCCCGTTAAGGCCAGTTGGTTGCTGTCAAACTAAAAAATAAGCACACAGAAAAGGTAAAACACATCTTCTTATGGGGCAGAGCTGACTCTACTTCACAGGAAGCTATTTTATCATGTGGAATGTGGGACTATTTATATTTTGTTTATTTTACAAGCATTAGTGGCAAACAACTAGGATAGTTTGGAGGTACAAAGAACTATACAAATTCTTCATACCAAGCATTAAGAATTTACACATATGCTTATAAAAGGTGACTTTGGGAGAGTGAGGTCATAGGCCTTTCCAAAACACCGTTATCCTTGATTTAGAGTCCCTCACATCTTTGACCCCAGGGTCCTGGAAATAATAAATGGGATCTGAACTCCGGTTTTCTGAATTCACGCCCAGTCCCCACCACTCCATCTTGCCTTATGTCTTGATTGACCTTTTCTTGTTAAAACTGACCCAGAGGATCACAGGTGGCCCAAGGAGGTGGTGCAATCACTTCACTAGAAATCTGGGAAATGCAAATTATGACCACAATGGAAATACCATGACACACCCTTCAGACGGGCAAAAATTAAAAAGTCTGATAATGCTAAGTGTTGCTGTGAATGTGAGCAACAGGTGTCCTGGTATACTGCAAGTGGGAGTGTGAATCTGACCATTTTGGAAAACAATTGGGAATTCTCTTCTGAAATTGAACCTTTTCATCCCTTGTGAGTCAGCAATCCAGCCCCCTTCCAGGTATACAAAATCTGTGCATTTGGCACCCAGAAGGTGTGCCGGATGTGCCCAGTAGCTTTACCTGTGATTACTAGAAGCTGCAAATGACCTGCAAGTCCGCTGATGGCACAGAGAGTAAACGAATCGTGGGGTAGTCACACGACGGAATAGCATCGAACAACAAAATGAATGAACAGCAGTGATACAAAGCAGACGACTCTCATGAGCATAAAGCACACGCCGTGATTCTACGTGCACAAAGTTCCCAAATAGGCAAAAGCAAACAGTTTTGTTTAGAGACGTCCACTTAGGTCCTTGGTGGTAAAACTAAACAAACAAACAAACAAAAAGATGAAGAAGAAAGTGAGGACGTGCTGGACACAAGAGCCCAGGAAGTGTGTCCTCTGGGGGGTGACTGTGAGTGGGGGACCTTCTGCCAAGTTGGTGTTTCATTTCTTGATTCCGGTGGCGTTTGCTCCATAATTATTCATTAAGCTGGACATATAGAGTGATGCACTTTTTGTGTGTTTTATATTTCATAATAAAAATAGGATAAAAAGAGAGCTGGTGCAAGGCGGAAATCGAGCGTTTCTTGCTTTGGGACGAGTGGTTTCTGCAAAGGCACATACTTCCTTGAGGGTCTCCCAGGCCCTGGAGCAGAGTCCCTCTCTCTCGGGGCTCCAGCCAGGCAGCCTGTGCCAGCTCTCGGGACAGCGGTGGTGACAGCTACCCGGTGAGCACACACAAGGACCAGCAGGCACAGGGACGGGCCGTGGACACGCAGCCTGAGCAGCCCCCCAGGCAGCTGGCAGGAAACGAAGGCAGAGAAGGGAAACCCACAGGCCCAACATCTGTAGGTAGCAAAGACCAGAGGCTTGGTGACATTAACGGCCAGTAACTGTGAGGTGTCTGCAGGCAGATCCTGGGCTGGGCTATTTTTAATCTAACATATGGGAAATACTGGTTTGGAAGCTGAAGTAGCTCCTCCTCTCGGCCCCCTCCTGTTCCTCAGAGCGCTCCCCTTTGCCTGGGAACACCCACTAGGTTTGTCACACAGACGCCCACATTGGGGAAGAGCAAAGAATCATCTTCCGGCTCCTCTCAGGGTTGCTGCCTTCTGTCCTCGGGGTCAACTGGCCTCAGACATGTTCACGGAAGCCCTAGGATATTTTTTCCCCCACGAGTTTCTTGGAAGAACTCAGCTCACAGCAGATTTGTGTTTTGCTATTACAGAGCGTAGGGTATCAGTGCTTTGAATGGCAGCTAGGCTGCATGGTTGTCCTAACTGGACTTAAGACCGTCTTGATGTCCTGTGGCATGGTGACTCTCCTTGGCGAGAGGGCAGGAGAACCACCCTCCTCGGAGGGTGAACAGGCTTAGGCTGTGTGACGAGCAGGCCTCGCCCCTCACGGACACCAAAACACTTGGCAAAGGGGAGATGGGGTGAGCATTGGTTCTGCCAGGCGCAGCCTGGAGGGTTCAACTCCTATGCGCTCCTGGATCAGAGAGAACATGAGGGGGTGATGCCCAGACACTGGGAGGGAAGTGAGGACTCAGGAGGTGGGGGACCCTCAAGGAGGTCCCCCGCACATTCCCGGGACATTGCATTATGTCTGCTGCAGACAGAACAGAACAGCCGGGGCACAGCCTAGCCCTCCAGGCATTCTCATTCTCCTGTGTGTTTTTTTCCATGGCAGATCAGAGCACGGCTGGCTGGAGGGGAAGGAGGGTGCCTCAGATGGGCTGTGTGCATATGATAGATGTTCACTGTGGCCTGAGTGGGCCATACAGATAGACAGGGAGAGGCTCCCATGGCTGGCATTCACCGTCCCATCCAGGGCTGATGCTGTATGGGGTGGTTAGATACTGCCACATGGGGCCTCAGTCCAGTCCTTACTCAGAACCATCTACCTAACAGTGGTTTCCCAAGAAGGAGAGCTGGGGATCGGGGAAGGAGAAGTTGTAGGAGTGACATGCTCAAGAGTGTGCTTGCCAACGTAAGGCCGAGAGCCCCCTACTCAGGAGAGGCACCAGTCCTAACGATCCACGAAAGACAAAAGGAAATGCAACTCTGGGTGCTTTGCCTTGCACCATGGCAAGATTTAGGCACACGTGTGTTCCATGGAAACAGTGAAAGCAGGATCAGATCTGGGGCCTCAAGCTCAAATCCGGGGCCATACCCAGCTGTTCTTTCACACATCTGTCTTTTAAAAAATTTTTATCACAAATTCCCCACGCTCTCCCTCTACTCCAGTTCATGAGTGGAACTAGGTTATGCTTCTTCTCTTCCAGCCCCACGGGGACCTTGATCAGACCAATGAGCTGATACAGACATCAGTCTGCAACCCCCTTTGAACTTTTTACTTCAGACGGGTTGTGACTCTGTGCTGACCTGAGGCCGCAGAAACACGTATGTCAAATACAACAGCGCACTTTGATGGATGAGGGCAGCGGGCAGCACTTGAGAGGCTGAGAGAACTTAACTTTTATTGTGGTGTATGAGGCTCATGACAGCCAAGTGCAGTCTCACTCATTAATAAACAAGCGTAAGGTTTTTTCTAAACCCACAATTTGCTTTTGATATTTAAGTATGTAACAAAAAGTGAGTTGAAATCTGAGCAGGGAAAAGTGAGTGGCAAATAAAAGCAAAAAAAATATGAGTTTGTCTTAAGGGAAACTACCAACATGAGCACTGCAGTGGATGGGAGGGACATCCTGGGTCAACAGCAAGAGGGGTACAGGAACCTGAGATTCCCAGACGAAAGCAAGGGCCATGAGGAAGAAAACCTCTTCAACTCTGGAGGACAGCATTCCCAATGTAGGACACTCAGAAACCCCACAGATGAGTATCAATCAAATATGAGCTCAAAAAGATCACCCAAACATAAGAAAACATGAGTTAAGAGAAAGAGAGCAGGAAAGGAAAGAAAGCAGAGAGACAGAGATTTATACCTCCAAGGACTTTCTGTACTGGAATCATCAGACACAGAATGTAGACTAACTGTGGATGAAATGTTCAAAGAAACAAAAGATGGAATCACAAAAGTTAGCAAGCAATAAGACATCCTCAAAAATGTTCAGGAGTATTTGAAAAATAACAACAAATAGAACAGCCAGAATTTGAAAAAATGCAATTGGTGGGGGGAAAAAAAAAATCAGTGAATGAGTTTAACAGCAGATTAGATACAGATGAAGTGAAAATTAGTGAACTGAAAGACAAATCTAAAGATATTACCATAACGCAACACACAGAGAAAAGGTAATAGAAAATAAGAAAGAATATAGAGGATGAGCTGAGAAGGTCTAACATATGTTTAATAGGAGCCTCTGAAGGACGAAATGGTAAGAAAGAAGGAGAGTAATATTTGAAGAAAAAATAGCTGAGTATTTTCCAGAACTGATGCAGAAAAGGAATCCACGGTTGTAGGAAGCACAGATACAGGATAACCACTGGCTTAGCTTTATTCACATTATCTCTTTCATCTCCATAGCAACTCAGGTAGAACATTAGTTTCCCCATTTCATCACTGAGTAAACTGAGGGTCAGAGAGATGACTTACGTTGTCTGATCACAGAGCTATTAACTGGCTGGGCTTGTCTGACTTCCTGGCCTGAGTTTCTTTACTATCTCACTTAAGTTTCTATAAATAGAAGCAGTTTTAAGGTTAACTCCATCTCAACCACTCAAATAATACAGTACTTGGGCTGTGCTGTACAAACATTCCTACTGCACATAAGGTTACAGACCCTCCAATGACTCAGGACATCACTGTTCTTAATCCAGCTTAGGTGGACACCAGGCATCTTGAATAGGCTCCAATGTGGTCCCCAGACCAGCAGCCTCAGCATCACTTGGGAACTTGTTAGAAACGCAAATTCTTGAGCCATATCCCAGACCTAGTGAGTTTAAAAACTCAAAGGAGGGTACCTAGCAATCTGTGCTTTAACCAGCCTCCGGGTGGTTCGCCCACACACAGAAGTTTGAGAACCACTGCTTGCAGCATTTGCTTTGGACTTTGTATCATCCTACGGAACACAACTGAAGTTACGGCTTTCATTCTTTATCTTTTCTCCTCATTTACATTTGTTCCTTGCTCATAGGGAATAGAAGGGTGTATTCTTACAAGCTATTTCAAAGTCTCTGAGAAATCTACCCTATTGTGAACATGTTTTTTTATGGTTACCTTATACTGAGTTGCACTTGCACTGAAAAGGATTGCTAACACCTATTTCCAAAGCAAGGCATCCACCATCCAGTCCACCTGGAGAGGGAGGGTATGGGGCGCTGGTGGAAGGTACCGTTCTCATAGTCAAGGGTGACAGGTATGCCATCTGGCGCCCCCAAGCCAGGTCCACCTAGGCCTGCCCCTAGACAAGGACCACACAGCTCTGATTTGCATACCCTGATTCTGGGTGGACACAACCCTTTTCCTTGGAGAGCCAGAGTCATTAAATCTTCTAGTCCCCAGCTGTGTAGAGAATGGTGTACCCTTCCATGGACCGTCTCTGCCTGTTCCTCACTGCTTTACCTGCAGGGCCTCCCACAGGGCCCTCAGTGAAAGAGCCATGAATGAGTGAGTGAAAGTGTGTGTGTGTGTGTGAAGGAGGGAGAGGATGCGAGGGCTGTAGGGATACGATGCAAAAGGATATAGTGTGAAGGGAGGGGAAGGGAGGAAATAATGAGAGCGTCATGCTCTACCTGGAAATGGCTAATAAAGAAAGGATAACTCAAAGATTAAAGTGTTTACTTCTCCTTGAAAGAGCCAAGGGAAGCAAGGTCAGGGGGGCACCTGAATTCAGATGTAGAGCATGTAAGAGCCTGCCATGCAGGAGAACCAATTGTTCTACAGGGGCTGGGAAAGTGGTTGACTGCTGAGGGCCTGAGGGGCGAACCCCCTCCTCCCTGGTACCTGCTTCAGGGCCTCTGCGGTCTTGCCTCTCTGCATACGGGGAACAGGGGCTACCTGGGGATGACTTGAACTAACATATCAACGAGCTGCCATGGGAAAGGAGCTTGCCTAGGGGTCCCACCCATTGTGTGCGACAACCACAGGCCAGTGCAATGAGCTGCGAGGGCTGGAGCGCTCTTGCGACCTCAGGACCAGCGAAGCCCACAGGCCACAGCTCCCATCCTCCTCGTTCACTCCCCAACACGTGTGCCTCTCAGGTCATTGAAGTGAAGACCTCCTGGGCCTCCTCTCTGCCTCGGTTTCTCACCCTCCCTGCCCTGTCCACACGACTCAGCTCTTGCACGGGCAACACTCTAGACTTCTGCAAACTGCTGTGCCTGATCTAAGACCTGCCTCTCAGCCACCTCACCCCTGCAGAACCTGCAGAGCGGCTGCCTTTCCCCACACTCTCCACTCTCGGGGCCAGCCAAGAGCTCAGGGTCTTCCCCAGGACCTAACGTATCTCCCAGAGGTGACTGCCCAGTGGTTTGGCCCAGGAGGCTGGGCATGGCAGCACCTCCTCCCCACCCTGACGATCTGCCACCACCCAGGAGACCCCGCTCTCCCACAGTGTCCTCCTTCAACCCCTTCGCCTCCTATCTCCATGGTAACGCTGGCTTGGCACTCCCCGGCATTTCCCAAACAATACATAATACATGCTGTCAGCACCACACGACCACCACCTCTTCCACCATTCCCACCCAAGGGCTCCAGGCACACCCGCGCCTGGCAGGCCTCCCGCTCTGGCATTTCCTCCCTCCTGATGAGTCCAGGCCTGCCCTCCCACCACCTCTTGCCACCTCCTCAGTTCCCCTCCTCCATTCTCCTGTCACAGCTGCTGGCAAGAGCTCAACCTCAGCTAAGTCTAATTGGCCAGTTTACTCTAAGGATCATTTGGCAAATCCTACAATGGGTGCATAAATGCCAATGGGTGCATCAAGCCAGATGGTCTTGAGACAGTCCTGTTGCCCCCTGCTGTCCCTCCTTCCATCCCGTCAGTGCCCACTTTGACTCTCACAGTGTCCCCAGTGGACAGTCAATGACTTGGTCCACCCCTTAGGATTAGAAGGGACTTCCTGTCTAATCTGACTGCCTCTCCATCACACAGCTCGTCACTCCAGCCCCCGCTCCTGGCCAGGACCTGCTCAGGTCACAGGGTTGGTCCCTACGACTATGCACCAACTTCCTGCTGCCCAGGAGACTTTCCTTCTCTTCTCTGCTTTCTTATTCTCACTGCTCAGAGCACAGCTTAAATGTCGCTATTCCCAGAATGATTTCTCCCACGGAGACACCGCTCTGAGCACTGTGGTTCCACCCACGAAGATCGTGGCCCGTCCCTGTGTGCAGGGCATTCAGAACAAATGGGGCTAATGGACCATAAACAAGTGAACAGAAATAAAATAAAGATAATACTGGATAGTCAACAGTGTCATTAAGTTAGATGGATGCCCGTGATGGATGGAACGGGGCACATCGTCACATGTCACACACTTTGCTGTATGTCCCTCTGAACTTGATGTCTTCCCCCCAGATTGTAAGCAAGGAAGGGCAGGGGCCAACATCTGTCTTGTTGTCACAGTCTCCACGGCTCCTATCACAATGCCTGCCACATATCTGGTGGAATGTATGAATATTTTGTGGAATGAATGACTATTTTTGTAGCTTCTTTTTTCAAGTGGCATACTTCTAAAGTTAGAAGGTAGAAACTACAGTGAAAACAGCATTGGTGACTTACTGGTTTGATGACTCCTTCAACAACTCTGAAATACCACCTTTTCTTTGCAACATTAATTCAGCTATTTGGAGAGCCACCATCTGGGTATTTAAAAGGTCACCTTGAACTTAAACTCTTGGCTCTGTGAGATTTGCAAGGACTTTTAGCCAAAAACGATAAAATATTTACCTGGGTACTAATATAAAGAAAGCAACAATTCTACTCCTTTTCTTTTACAGGACATGGAACTTTTGGAGCATTTTCATTCTAAGATACTTTACATGATGAAATGAAGGGCACGGCCCATTACATCTCAGCAGGCCTGATGTGCACTTGGAGAGGCATCCGTGCACAAGGCTCGAAGCCACCCACACGAACCACGAGGGGAGGCGTTTCTGCACGGGATAGCTAGAACCTGTTGACCACAGCCTGTCCCCACGGCCTCGTCCAGCCCAAGCAGGGCCCAGCAACATGGCCACATGGCCTTGGCTTTTGTACGACTGGTCAAAGACATTTAATCACCATCAGAGAAGACCGCTCTTTCTCCCTCCACCTCCTTTCCCAAAGTTGACAATGCTCCCAAAATGTGCCTGCAGTACCAAGAACAGCTTGTAAACCTAGAGGAAGGACTGGGTTTTCTTTTTTCCATACATAGAAAATAATATCAGCAAATTACTGTCAAATGAAGAGGCAAACACTATGCAGTCCAAAAATGCAGAAAATAAAAGGTGCTACTGAGAAGTGTCAGGCAGTTAAGTAAAAATTTATGTTATATTTTAAAAACTTGCCACGTTTGTAGTATTTACCAGCTTTAAAAAACTATAATTTATTGTGATTTTCTTATTCTAAAAAAATATATTTTGTACCTAATTTTGTATTCTTTTTTGAAGAAGGTCTCCAAATTGTATATGCTTTGGACCTCTCCAATCTTGGATCCTTCCTTTGGGAGAGGGGCCACATAATTTTTGGAAAATAAGTTTGTCTCTTTTCTAACAAATTCATTTTTCAGTCACAGCCTGAGCTGTAACTAATTTCTCAAGATGGCAAACTGTGCTGTCTCGTGAGGCCTCGAGGAGCTGAAGGGACGTGCACCCTGTGCAACGCGTCCACTTTGCCTTGGTCCCTGGTGTGGCTAATGAGGCAGAGCTCTGACCCCCACTCTCAAGACCTGGGCTGGGGGATCCTTGTCCATCCAGTGTTCCCATCTGGCTGGCCAGACCCCAGACATGGACAGGTGTCTTAGAACACCACAGGCAGAGGGGCTTAAACAACAGGCATTTCTTTCTCACAGTTCTGGAGGCTGGAGGTCTGAGATCAAGATGCTGGTAGATTCAGTATCTAGTGAGAGCCCGCTTCCTGGCTCCTACATGGCCACCATCTGGCTGTGTGATCTCATGGCCTTGCCTCTGTCTGTGCATGCAGAGAGAGAGCTCTGGTCTCCTCATTTTCTTATAAGGGCCATAATCCCATCATGGGGACCCACCCTCATGACCTCATCTAAACCTAATCACCTCCCAAAGGCCTCACCTCCAAATACCATTACCCTGGGGCCTAGGGCTTCAACATATGAACTAGGAGAGGGGTGAGGGGACACAAACATTCAGCCCATAACACCAGGTGGTGAATAGCCATCTCCAGAAACGCTGCAGACGGCTGTGAGAGAGGGCGGACCCCACTGTCTACGTCCTCCGTCAAGAGCCTTGATGCCCACAGGCTCTATTCCCCAAGCACAGTGCAAGTTCCTGACCGCTGCCTTCACAAAGTCACCCCCTGACTTTCCTGGCCAAGCAATGTGGACAGGAGACAGAAGGGGGGAAGCTGACATGCTGCATGGACCCAGCCTGGTGCCACGCCTTGCATGGGGAGTGGGGTGGGGGCCAGTGGTAGTGGAGTCCCTGGACATGGCTTAAGCTGCTGCCTCCCCTGAGCCTGACACGCCAGGGACCCTGGATCCCAGCCCTCATCTCCCACGTGCCTGACAGCCTTGGACAAGCCCCCTGTGCCTAAGCCCTTGTCTGAAAACAAAGGCATTTAGACCCACGAGCAGAAAGGTCCCTTCTGGTTCAGGTGTTCTGGATTTCACACCATAATTCATGAAGAGAGAGAACTGGAAGCCAAGTTGGCCACCGTCCCCCAGATACAATCCATCCTGATGGTTAGGCGTCTCTGGGGTGTATCTTCTGCACTTTAAACTGCATTAGTGAGGATTTATCATCTCACCTGAGTCTCAAACTTTTTGAAATATGCTGCCTTTCCATCAGTATTTTCTGTGGGCAGCAAGAGAGCATTTTCCCAAGAGAGGGGTCTTGCTACACCGAACCGTAATGTAGACCAGACGTTCCAGAATGAACTCTGGTGTTTCCACACTTGATCTGTGTGCTGTCCCCGAGATGGGAGCTGCAGGCAGTCAACATGCCCTGTGGGCGCCCTTGGCCTTTACTCCTGTGTTCACTAACTACTCAAAATCGGCCTAAATTTATTAACCTTCTACAAAGTGCTCGACATTATGCAAGGCACGTTCACATGCATTAACTTATTTTAAATCAAGTTAATGAAGCCCGGCATGAGGAATCACAAAGGTTAGGTTCCGCTTCTGGATCTGAGAGCCTCCCCAGGTTCTTACTGTCTGCAGGGAGGTCCCAGGTCATGCAGGAAACAAGTTCCTGAGCACGCAGGGGCAGGGGAGCAGAGGCGTGAGAGGCATGGGGTGGGCGGCTGGCCGATGGGAGCCAAACCGAGTCCAGGAGGGGCTGGGAATGGACCGGGATGGGAACCGGTATGCAGTGAGGAGCGGGGTCGTCAGCCCTGGTGGGGAAAATCAAGCAGTAAGGCGAGGCTGCCCAAGCAGCCGTAAACACGGGGACAAGAGAGGGTTGGTGAGGCCGTTCACCAAGTACACACCACGCACCCCGAAACTCTGCTTTCCTGCTCCCTGCAGCGTGTGCCAGGACAGCAGAGGACACAGACGGAACCCCACTCCCAACAGTAACGGGGTGTCTGCACAGGAGCGACACCGAGCCCGCCTCCACGTCAGGGCCGCACACCAGCTCCCCCGCCACCCTCCTCCACCAAGCAGACAAGAGTTCCTGTTCTCAGGCACGAGAGCGGAGGGCCCCCAGATCACCACAGGGGAAGGAACACTGCACGTTGGTTCCTATACACGGACGCGCACAGTGTGGCCTCTGCACATGCTCACTCCTGCTCTCTGACCGTCTCTTTTCTACAGGCAGCCAGGCGGGTCCCACTGAACTCCAGTTGGATCTGCCCTAACACCTCCCCGAAGGTGGACGGACCGACTCGCCCAAAGCAAAGTCCCCCCAGTGCCCACGAGCCCCCCAAGGCCGGACCCTCAGAGCGCACTCCCACGTCAGGGCACCCACACACGTGGTTTCCTCACCAGGATGGCTCCCCACGGCCCTCAGGTCTCTGCTTGAATGTCTCCTTCCCAGTGAGGCCCTTCCTCACCACCAAGCATGAAACAGAACCCCCCACCCCAACCGCGGCCTGCTTATTCCTTCCTTATGTGCACCGACCGACTGTGAGTTCTTGCTCAGCTGTAGTGTCTATTCTCTCACGGAGACGTGGGCACATGAGGCAGATGCTTGTGTGGCTCAGGCCTCCGTCTCCAATGCCAAGAACAGTGTTGGCGTTTGGTGCCTCGCACAACCGTGGATACCAGTAAATGTTGGTCCATGGGTGGACAAGTCGATTTAAACGACTGGAAGTAGGCAGGGGGCACATTCTTTGGGGAAACCTGAATGAGGTCTGAGAAGATCTAGTGGGGAAGGAACCCATAGCTGGCGGGGCCCTCAGCCACCCAGGGCGGGCACTCCCTGCAGCACCCCTTGTCTGTCTAAGTGGGGAGCGGGCGGCTGTGCCCCAGCAAGCCAGAGAGCAGGCATCTGATGCAGGGGAAGGCGGGAGGCCTCGCCGTCGGGATTATGCAATCTGGGCTGACTTAACACAACAAGGTGCTGCGTGGGCCGTCCCATGACATTTGTGTCAGAAATCATTCCTCGGAAGATGGTAAAACTTCAAACCTCAGGGGAAAATGAGCTGACAGGTGCCACACCGAGGAAAAACCGTCTGCCCCCACGGGATTTCTGCCCGTGGCCACTACTGCGTCCACTACACCATCGCTCCAGTCACCGCTGTGCCAACCCTGCTGCTCTGTACTTGTTTTCAGGACCACTTCTTAAAAAAGAGTATTGTGCTTAAGATCATTTCTTAAATAATAGGTGTTATGGTAGTCTGAGGAAAATTCTTTCAATAGATGGATACTCAGAGAAAACACTTCTATTTCTAGGAATAGCTTACAAAGTCAGCCGAGGATGACTGTGGGCCCGATCGTAGGGCTGCACTGCTGTCTGTAGGCGTCCAAGGTGAGAATGCAGCATTGTCCTCTGAGGCACCAGTTGGCGTCTCTGGAGGGTCAGTGAGCAGTGACAACGGGTGAGTGTGCCCCCGCTGAGCACCGCTGTGTCCCCTTGGCCACAGCACCTCGGGGAAATAAGGCTGACCCCTGCCCATGATGGCTCCTTACCTTCTCCTGACCACTGACCCCACCCGAGGCGGCCTGCATCCTGGGACCTCTAGTCCTGGGGCACAGTGACCACTAAGGGTAAGAGTGATCAGCACCCAGGACGCACATCTCATTTCTGAGACGATAAGGCCCAAACCTGCTCGTGGTCAAAAGCCTGCACTGACCTCTCAGATGGGCTGCTCTCAGCAAATTTTCCTTAACATTCACCCAAGGGCACTTAGTTCCAAATAAAAACAGAAGTAAAGTCTGAGACCTCCTGGGAACTGTGAGCGAGCACGCTGCGGTGTTTTCAGTTCAGATGGTTAGTCACAGATACTGTTACACTTCCTCTATTTGCCATTGAAAGCAGAATATGTGGCTGAATAACATTTCCTTTAAATTACGTCCCTCAGTGCCCAAGGAGAGTGTTCACTTTGGGGTCAGACTGGGCAAAACAAACACTGAATTACAAGTGATTGATTCAATTCGAAACGTCTTTACAGCAGGCCAACACGCGAATTGTCAGGTGATAGCATGTGACCCCTCCCCAGGGTCCTGGGGAGTCCAGGAATGGGGAGGCTCTGTCGCCCCAAATGGTCCAGCAGGCCTGGTGGTAGGAGGTGAAGGGAAAGACACAATACTTACAGAAATTTCCCGTTTGTCTTGGATCCTATCAGGACGACTTGCTCTGATTCATCCCGAGAGATTTTTCCGTGGAACCAGGGCATTTTTTCGTGGGCCGTGGTGGCGATCAGCTTCTCCAGCTGAGGTTTCTGGCTGATAATGGCCTGCTCCAGGGCTTGACCCTGCCACGAGGAGAGCAGAGCAACACTACGTAAGAATGAAGGAATGACGCAAAAGTTATTTCCAATCTGTCCTAAGTCCTGACATGGCAAAATACAACCAAATTTACTTATGTGTTGGTTAGTTGGTTGGTTCGTTCACTCATTCTTTCATTCAATGAATAAAGCCAATAAGAGCTTATATATTATTTAAGTACCTTCAAGTGTATAAATAACAAAATTGATTTTAGAATGGAGAGATGGGCCTTAAAGTTGGACAGGACTTCAGAAACCATCCAGCATAATCCGTGAGGTCTAAAGAGCCAGCCTCCTGCTCTTCAGAGCAGTTGTCTGCTAGAACTGATTGTTCTGTATTAGAATCTGATCATTTAATAACAATTAAGAAGACTTAAGACGTGTGCAATCAAGGAGACATGCGTTTCCCATCTGCCCCTCCAAGGCCTCGCTCTGAGGCCTCACATGCGCTGCTGCCTGTAGCTGCAGGAGACGTGAACACAGAAGGCGGAGGAGGGGAACCCTGACAACGCAGAAATGACAACATCGAAAACAAAATGGCGACAGGGGTGGACAGCTGGGTGAGTTCACGTCCTCCTCGGGCCCAGTGGGAAGAGGTGTTTCCTATAGTAGTAAATGAAGCCCCAGTGTCTGGTTATTTGAAGTTATAAAATGAATGAGAAGAAGTAAAAATAAAACTATAACCAACCACAGTAGGAGGTGGAAGGGAGGAGGGAAGATGGAAGGGAAGGTGAGTACGGGAATTCTGTCTTCTTCACAGATGGCATGAAAAACAGAAGCAGGGACAGGTCACACACCAGAGAGGCATCCAAAATGAAGCCAGCAGGGGTCAAAAGTGAACGGGTGTGGAATACTACTCGGTTATAACAAAGAGTGGACTGGGGACACCGCAGAGACACGGCTGAGTCACAAACACATCACTCTGAGTAAAGAAGCCAGTCCCAAAAGGCTACATGCTGTGTGAGTCCATTTATACATGACATCCTGAAGAGGCAAAACTATAGGGACAGAAGACAGATGAGGGGTTGCCAGGGGCGGGGGGGCAGGCATGTGGGTGCTTTATGAGTGATGGATCAGCTGCATGTCTTGATTGGTGTGGGGGCCACAGGATGCTACGTGCTTGTCAAAAATCATAGCACTGTACACTAAGAAGGATGAATTGTATGGTATGTCAATTCCGCCTCAATAAATCTGATTTATCTGACTTTAAAAAGAGTAAAAGGATAGTCTAAGACATAGCCAATAAACTCTAATGAAAAATACTGAACACATAGTACTAATATCTGTCTGCAAGGTTGAATTTAGTGTAGAACATATTAAAGGAGTTAATGAAGTCGCTGTATGTAATCCTCAAAAAGCTTGTATTGTCTTATATCTGTAAATATCAAATAACACAGAAAAACGCACGGGGCAAACATCCAGGAAAGGCAAGAGAAATGGTTGAACACATAAATCCGAACAGGAGACTGTCCCCCACGCTGGTGGCCCATGACATCAAGTGCTGTGGAGAGTGTGGCAGGAAGGTAAGTCGTCACAACATTTGGGACCTTCCTGCATGACAACTTGTTGATAGGTCCAAATTAAACACACACATCCTTCGCTGTGGCAAACCTACCTGCTGAGGGTCATCCAGCAGATACTGCATAAAAGCTTAGAAGGGTGGTAGAGAGGGATGTTACTAGCAGCATTATTTGTAAACAATGAAAGTGTCCCTCAATGGGTACTAGTAAAATAAACTATGGTGCATGGGGGGGTGTATCAGGCAGCCAATAACGGGCTGGTGCAGCTATGTGTGTGCTGACACGGGAAGTTCTGCAAGAGATGTTATGAAGCTATGAAATCCAGTGCCAATTAGCATGTATAGTTTGACCCCTTAGGTAAATATAAAACAGTAGACGCCTGGATGCCTCTCTGAAAGGGCCCGGCATGAGCTGGGGACAGTGGTTTCCTGCGGTGGAGAAACCCACATCGCTGGCATGAAGAGGCCCACCCTCTCAAGTGTGACCACAGAGGAGGAAAGCCTGTCTTGGAGGGAGGCATTTTTTTGCCCAAGTGAGTGACTGGGGAGATGGCTGCTTATCTAAGGCACCCTGCACGGCTCTGCATGGAACCGGGTGCCTGTGGAATTCCAGGGCCCGAGAGCGCACGAGACCGTGCACCGCAGGGGGACCAGCCGTTGCCCACCTGCAGGTTCCACGTCTGTTTCACGTATTCCCTGATGAGGTTCTCCTTCAGGTCCTCGAAGGGTCCGGTCTTGGGCTGCACCCCGGGTGGCCGGTTGAAGGGCTTCGTGAGGAGGCAGACGAGGCCATCCGACTCCTGGGAGTGGTACTGGCAGAGCTCGGCGGGGCTGCCGTGCGTCCTGCCGCCCGCGATGGCGTAGGTCCCGTTCAGCTCCCGCTCGATGGTGTAGTGGTGCGCCTTCCTCCCGTGCGCCACTGACAGGGCGAAGCCGCCCAGGTAGTTGCGGCTCTGGCGCAGCAGGTAGAGCCCATCGCTCATGCCCCCCTGGACCAGGTAGTCTTCTGCCTCCTCCCGGGTGATGTTGCCAAAGAAGAAGGGCAGGTGGTTGGCGCCATCGGCCGTGCCTCCAGCCATGCCTGAGTCTCCCCGTCACGGGCCAGGGCGTACAGTGTCCACCTGGGCAAGACAAAGATGGACATCGGTCAGGACCTGAGCAGCAAGAACAGGTGTTCAACCACCGACCCACCAGAAGTGGAGACAAGTCCTCCTGTCAGGGGGATGCTCTTCCGTCTCAGGACCTGGGTGTGGAGCCCTAACTAATGTCCTGTTGTCCTCTCCAGTCACACAATCATTAGATTTCCAAACACACGCTCCCGATACTGAACCCAGAAGACAGCATCCAACCAACGGGACAAAATTAACCAATTTTTTTTTGGTGGGGACAGAGAATTCCAAGAGACACACTAAACAGAGAATCCCATGATTCAGGAGCTGGCCCAGACGGTCGGCGGGCACCCAGGGCGGGACCCAGACAAGCTTACACCCCGCGCTCTCTCCAGGTGGACACAGTTGTGAAGAACACGGGCTGTGATCAGTTACATGCAGTGAAGACGTCACTGAACACTCTTCTGCCGAACGTCAGGGGTCAGCCGTGTGTATTCATACCTGTAGTTAGAGCCAGAGAGCCAACGGGCTAGCCACGCGAACACACCATGGAACCCGGACAATGGCCCCATGGCCTCTCCACCTTTGGCCAGGAGACAGGACCGACAAGCCACTGCGCTGAGGCATGAAGAGTGACATCCTCCCAGGGCCCCTGGTCAGCATACAGTCCCCTCCCTGCTTCCTCCAGGCCACTTCCTGGCACCCGCCCTGCGCCATCCACGCAGCTGCTGCTAAAGAAATAGTGCAGGTTCCACATTCGGTGAGGACCCCTGTCACAAGAAAGACACTTCTGACACTAAACACACACACTCAGAAGGGAAGAGTGAAGGCAGCGGGTGCACTTTTAACGAGCAGAATGTTTTCCCTTAGTCACGGCTGTAGATGAGAAGGATGTATACTGCCAGTCCAAAAGCATCCTAAGAGGTGTACATTTCCACCAAAAGGGGCTTGTCATCAACGGAAAATTACCTAGATGACTCCATCTGTGCATCTACGGAGAAAACACACGCCATCATGTTACACACACACACAGATACACACACACTAAAACACAGACATATACAGAAACACAGAGACACACAGATTCACACAGAGACACAGAAACACAGACACACACCACACACACAGAGACATACAGAGACACACACACACACAGACACATAACAAACACACACAGAGACGCAGAAACACAGAGACTCAGACACACACACACAGACACAGACACACACAGACATACACACACAGACACAGACACACAGATACACCCACAGACACACAGAGACACACACACACAGACCCACACAGAAACATAGACACAGAGACATATAGACACACAAAGACACAAACACACAGACACACACCACATACATACACAGAGACACAGACACACACAGAGACACACACACACACCACATACACGCGCACACATACACGACTGTGTGAAACAGCCTCTTCTCAATATAAATTATCCTACAAGTGGCTGTAAAACATACGGATACCTCCCTGATAGAGACAATAGAATTATCTCTCCACAATGTTGCCAAATAAGTTCTTCTGAGTGAGCTCCAGACGACACATGAGTTCTATTATAATTTTATGGTACAAACCGTTTTTTGTTTGCTCTTCTTAACATTTGACTATCGATGATTAATTTATCTTTGTCCAAGTTTCCATAAATTCATCTCTCAGCAAGTTGTTTTTTTCTTTTAAGTACAGTCTCCACATTTGCTCTTAAGTCTAAGAACGCTGTTAACAAAAAGACCTCTCTGGGAAGACTGTGGGTCGATGTGTCTTTGGGGAGGGATATTTCTCTCGTGCTTTTTGCTCTCAGGCTAATCCTTCTGCGATGCTCGTGTCACAGCTTTGGCCCCCACCCCCACCCCCATACAGGGAGGGCCCTAAGGCTCCTTCTCACACTCTGCTCTGTTCCTGCAAGGGGCCTTCTAGGGCCTCAACCATCGCCATGCTCTGTGAGGCCCAGCTGCCTCCCCGGCTTGTCCCCCCTGCAGCCCACCACTTCTCGTGCGCGTGCACATCACCCAGATGCTGTTAAACACAGGGGCCTGTGGCCTGCGGTGCCGACAATCTCAGTGATGCTGATGCTGGGCTCCAGCTAGCGCTTGAGGCCGAGATCTCCACGCGCTGCCTGCCTGCTGTCCAGGCCTAGGCGCCGCCCCGGCCCGGAACCCGGGAGTCCTTCCAGAGTCCTCGCTTTCCCTCAGGCTTGTTTTCCAGACGGCTTTGCTGTGAGCTCCTCTCTGTCCATGTCCATCACCACTGTCCACTCTAGCACATCATTCCCAGCTGCAGGGCTGTGAGCACCGCTGGCCTGCTGGTTGCATCCCCTCCTATTCCTCCTCTGCCCGCCCTACCCTGTAGCCCCACAGTTCCCTGCAGTATGGTCCTGTCCCTCTCTGCCTGTCAGCTTTACTCATGGCAGGCTTGCTGGACCTCACCCAGGGGGCCCCAGCTGTCCCTCTCCTGTCTCCTTGCTCACACTCTCTCTGCTTGGGGGGTGCTCCGTCCTACAGGCCTGCCTCAGATGCACCTCACTGTCAGCTGGCCCCACTGCTCAGGGCCCCTTACATAGCTGCCGCCCACCTTTGGCCTCAACTAAAACCGTCTAAGTGTTCAAGGACAATATTTTCAATGTTAACAAATATTTTTTAAGTTATATAAATCTTAACAACACAACTATCATATTTAAAACTCACCAGTTTGCCAGCCATATTTACATCGGGGCTGGGCCTCTGCTGTGAGTCCCACATTGAAGGGGACCTGAGACCAGACCGGCCGTGAGGAGGCAGCGTATGGGGCCCATTCCCCAGGCACAGGCCCGGATGCTCCTGTACGGCTCTGACCATACATTTAGACTCGTCCGCAAGCAGGTGGCACGTTTGGCTTCCATGGGAGGGACAAGGCCTGGCTGCTCGGTGTCAGCAGCGCCATGGCCGAGACCCTTTTCTGAGGGTGTGATTTCCTGTGCTGACGTGACACAGGGCGCAGGCCTGAGGAAGATGCATTTGGCTGTTGGTGGTGGTGGTGGTTTTGACAGCAGAGATGGTTTATTGCAAGGACAGTTAAGGGCACATTCTTGAGCTATTTGACTTGGGGACGAACAACATCTGTGATGCCCTGTTTGTGCCTTCTCAGGACTGGCTCCCAGTGGCGCCCACCCAGGGCCTTCTCCTGGCCTCCAACCTCCTCTCCACCACACAGGCCATGGTGACAGGACAGTCACCTCCACTCCAACCACCGTCCACAGGACCCTCGTCACCACACTGCTGTTCCCAGCCCTGTTTCTCAGAGGTTAGCTCTCACTCACTGTGGCAATCTCGAGTTCTGCCCTTGCACTTGGCCTTAGTCTGGGCCACAGCCGCTGTCCTGAAGCTCCTAGCGCTGCTGAGACAGGTGCAGACAGCGGCTCCCCCGCTGTGCACTTTCCTCCACGCCCGCCCATCGACTCGGCCACCCCCGCACGTGCTTAGGCTCTGCTTACACCTGCCTTTCCCTCGGGCCCCAGGGAAAGTCTGCAGCTCAGACTCTAACACCCACTGGGATCAATTTTCTCCTCCTGTGCCTAGAACTCGCTACCTATTTTTTTGTCCATTTCAACATTGCCAGTCATTTTTCTCCATGTGTGAAACCATTTTATTCCAAAGCTCAAAACTGAGAACCAAAAGCGGCCTTTGGTCTCCACCGACCAGGCCCCCAAGCTCCTCCCAAGCTCCACCAGTCCCTCAGCCTCACACATCTGCACAGGTAGCTCTTCAGTGAGGTGAGGCTTCAGGTGGCTGCCGGGTGAGCTCCTCAGAACACTGCAGCATCACCTGCTCTTTGGGGGCTCTGCATGACACAGGTTAAACATGCACTTCGTAATAGGAAAGTGACTTATGACGCTAAGCAACGTTGTGTGATGCCTGGGCAGCAGATCCCTGTTCCCTCGTTAATTTTCTGCATAGCATGTCTCCACAGGTGACGACTCTCTAACACACCATAACTTACTGCTGAACTTGATTCTTGTCTCGGTCCCCCCAATGGAGTGCCAGCTCTGGGAGGCGAAAAGGGGTGCCTTTGTTCGCTGCCCTATCTCGGAGCCCACAACAGTTCCTGGTGCACAGCATAGGGTCAAAAATATCTGTGGATTAATAGGTATGATTAAGTGAAAGCAGACTTCAGAATACTGTGCACAGAGCAATCCAGTTTTGTTTACAAAGGTTACATGTACGCACATAGGTAAAAATATACACATGGAGAGTGAGAAAGGACAGACAGCCTGAAAGGACGGGGGTAGAGTGGAAGGGCTGGAGGTCATTACCCCAGGTCACCCCTCTGGCCGTCTTGCTTGACCTCCTGGCAGCACTGGACGTAGCCCAGCATCCCCATGTTGGTGGGTCAATCTCTGTTCCTTGTTGACCCCTCTCCCCTCCCTGGCTCCTTCCTTCACTTACTTTCTAACCCAGCACTGGGTGTTCAGCTGCACCTTCTCCCTCCACATGGCCCCCACGACCAACAATGGATCCCACGTTCACCTCCCTCCACTGAGCTCCTGACCTGAACGCTGCTTCCCTGACGTTTCCACCTAAATGTCTAACAGGCAACTCACTCTTCAGGGGCCCAAAATGGGGCTTTTGATTGTGCATGCACATTCCTCCCTCAGCGCCCCCAACTGAGGAAATGACACCGACTCTAAGGGACGAGATCCTAGAGACTCTCGGGATTCCTCCCTCTCACTCATCCCACATGTCCAATCCACTGAGTCAGAAGAGAACGTGTTTTCTATCAGACGTGTCCATCTCACACCGGAACTGGTTCCCTTAGGAAGCAGTGAGTTCTGTGCAGGGTCCCAGCTCCACCTGGGGCTGGGGAATCTGGAAGAAGGTTGGGCCAGCTGGTCTCGAGAGATCTCCCATCAATTTTCCTCTAAGTATATCCCAAATCCATGGCTTCTCACCGTCTCCCCTGATGCTACCCTGGTGGAAGCCCTGCCACCTCTCAGATGGGCATCTTAT